GCATCAGTGTGACCTGACTGTGAGACATGGAGTCACAGGAGATTATTTTGGAGCTTTAAGATTTAAAGATTGCCTTGCTGGGTTTTGGACTCACATGGGGCCTCTAATCCCTTGGTTTTCGTTAAGTTCTCCTTTTTGGAATGGTAGCATTTACCCAATAACTATACCCCTATTTTGTCTTGGAAGTAACTAGCTTGATTTCTATTTTAACGGCTCATAGGCAGAAGGGAGTTTCCCTATCTCAGATAAGACTTTAGACTTGGACTTTTGAGTTAATGCTGGAATGAGTTGAGACTCTGGCAGACTGTTGGGAAACATGATTGGTTTTGAAATGCTGAGAAGGACATGACATTTGGGAGGGGCCAGGGGCAGAATAATATGGCATGGCTCTGTGTCCCCACCAAAACCTCATGTTTAACTGTAATCTCTAATGTTGGGAAAGGGACCTAGTGGGAGGTAATTGGATCATGGGGACAGATTTCCTTCTTGCTGTTCCCATGAGAGTGAGTTGTCAGGAGACCTGGCTTTTTAAAAGTATGTGCCATTTCCTGTTTTTCGTACTGTCTCCTGCTGCACCATGTGAAGAAGGTGCTTGCTTCCCCTCTACTCTTCTGCTATGATTGTAAGTTTCCCAAGGCTCCCCCAACCATGCTTCCTGTAAAGCCTATAAAACTGTGGGTCAATTAAACCTCTTTCCTTCATAAATCACTCGGTCTCAAGTAGTTCTTTATAGCTATGTGAGAATGGGCTGATACACTGGGATACCAGTTCAAAAAGCACTTTATCGAGTTTTGGTGAATTGAGGTAGGACTTATTGAGCTTCATGGGAAAGAGATTCTCTAGATCAAAGGTTCCCCCAAAGATCCCTTAGAATAAGGGGTGATTGAGCACATAAACCTAAATGAGAGTGAGTTTACTTTCAGTGGTCTAAGCACAAAACGGGTGAAATTGCCTTTTACCCTGGATTATTGGGTGTGAAAGGAAGAAGTGATATTAAGAAACTATGAATCTATAATCCAAGTGTGTATGTGGTAATTACACTTCTGCAAAAGGTGAGGATATTCTTCAACAACTATGGTTGGTAATTATCAGGAATTAATGGGCCAGAAAGATTATGTGAAATGCAAGTATGTTTCAGAATCCCAGCATGCAAATTTAGGAGTGATTTAGGACTGATTGCAAACAATTTGACCATAAAAATTTTGAAAAAATTTTTTGCATACCAGGGCCCAGATATTAAGTATATTTCTGTTCATTTGTAACAAACAGTTTATGGTAATAAAAAAGACACATCCTTTGCCTCATAGGTAATTTCACATTGCAAATATCTAGATAATTCATAAGGCATGAAAAGGTGAGGCCAGAAGATTAGTGCACATTGAGCTACTGAATTTTCTGAAATATAATGATAGGGGAAACTTATAACAAAAAATTTTTAAAGAGAAGCAGTTGTATAATGCCCGATACCACCTCAATGAGATAGATGATCTAAGGAAAGAAGTGCTCAAGTATTTGCTCCTCCGCACTTTCAAATGTGAAGACACAACCATTTATTTACTCCCTGACTTCCTTTACTTATTCTTTTTATAAAATGTCTCTATGCTGAAGTGTTTAGGGTTAGGAAACCCAGAATAAATATTTTTCAGCCTTATTCAAAAACTGTCCTTTTTTGATATTTGATTTTAGTGTCTCAGATACATTTTAAAAATATATTAGCTTATCTCCTTTTTTTTTTTGTCAAATACAGAGATTAAAACTGGCACTAGCTTCTTGTGTTTGTTAATTCTGTTCTTTAGGTCTTAAGGTCCTTCAGGTATTTTGCCCTAAAATTTAAGAAAAACACAATGTACCTCTTCTGTGAAGGGAAGAACTATAGTATCTGTAAGTTGCATACAATAATCCTTCATCAATTGTAGAGTTTAAGTCCTTGAAAAGGGACTGACCAAAGTCAGCAAAATCACAGATCAGATAATATAAAACAGAGAATTTGAGGAAAACTATTTTTAAACTTAAATATTTTCAGAAAGTATCCACTTCTAAAACACATCTGTTTTTCCTGGTAAGTTTTCTCTAGAATCATCTTCTCTGAGTTTGTTCAGGAAATAACCGTGGGAAGTTGTCATCTACTTGGGAAGGGTCACCCACAATTTTATAGTATATAGACAACACTTCTTAGTAAAAATATTCACCTAGACCTTGTTGGATTTAAATGGAATGTATTTTGAAGTTATATCTCACCTTATTTTATTTGATCAAGACTTCAAAAATGCTTCTGTGCCTTCCTGGATTTTTCTTTTAATGGAGTTTCACTCTTGTTGCTCAGGCTAGAGTGCAATGGGGTGATCATGGCTCACTGCAATCTTCACTTCCCGGGTTCAAGTGATTCTCCTGCCTCAGCCTCTCTAGTAGCTGGGATTATAGTCATGCGCCGCCAAGCCCAGCTAATTTTGTATTTTTAGTAGAGATGGTGTTTCTCCACGTTGATCAGGCTGGTCTTGAACTCCTGACCTCAGGCGATTCACCTGCCTCGGCCTCCCAAGGCGCTGAAATTACAGGTATGAGCGATCACGCCCGGCCCCTGGAGTCTTTACAAACCATAACAAGGGTTATGAGTATCCTTCCTGAGCCTAGCCTTCTATCAACACATCAAGGCATGGAGCATAGACAGTTAGCATCTTTAACACCTCTCCCAAAGGGCTATCAACCAAATTTATACAAAGAGAAAGGATTAACATTGATAAATTAATCAGTTTAATGGTTCTAAAGTAAAAAATGTATGTTAAAGGGCTGTATAACTTTAAAATTGTGTAACACCCATTTGTCTGCATTATCTCCCAACTGCAGTCATCAACTTGGTGGTTAATTTGGAATTACTGTGCTCACATTTTAATACATTATACAAGGACAGACTCACTTCTCCCTTTCTCCCTTCCCCTCCTTATTTCATTATGAAAGTGATAATCTACGGCAAATGTGAGTTTCACTGAATGTCAGGTGTAGGTCACCAGGGAAAACTAAGGCAAAAGAACATTTGCCACTTGCCAAAGCTCATTCATGCACAGCCACAAGGATGCATTCTATCTTGTGAGGAGATGGTGTGGGTTAGTATTTACATTAACATGGGAACATCTTGTTCATATCATAATGAGCAAGCCAAAATGGGCATGTTAATGTATTTGAGCAGATGTGTAAACTTTATGCTTCAGGAAAGGGTGATGCAGCTCTTCTACAAAAATTCTTTTGCCTAATTTATTTCAGTATATTTTTGGAGAGCTATTACACTGCAACATAACATAGGTGTAAAAATAGGACAGATTTATGTAATACTGACAATGAGTAGAATCTCGAGCCTCAGTGCCATAGGCTTGATATTCAGTGAGTCTGAAGGCTAAAGATCCGATCTGTCCTCCTCTCTACTGTGTCTCCTCCCCTCATCAGGGTGCTACCTAAAACATATTAGATACTCCATAAATATTTTTGATGAATTAATGAATTAACAAACTCTACTCTTCATCTAGGCTATAGCCTTTCTAATTGTTTACCGTGTAGGTGTCATGCATTTGAGCTCTGATTTTGACTTCATTCTCCCACTGGCACTGGGCATCTCCTCTGAACCCTCTTTATGGGGCCTTACCAACCATCTCCCTTTTAAAGGCTTCCTCCTCTGGGGGTTGAACCCTGTCTACCATGTACCATCTCCTAATAGATTAGTTATGTTTGAGATGTTGCAGTTGGCTTTGAATACAATTTATTCTCCACATTTGGCTCTCTTGTGCTTCACCAACAAAATTTAAATGTATTGAGTATGTAGCATATGACCTAGGTCTTGAGGTTTGTGTAGTCCTATTTATTCACTTTTGTGTCTATAGTGATGACAGTTATTCCCTTTCCTATTTGTATTTTTTTTTTTTTTTTTTTTTGAGACGGAGTTTCACTCATGTTACCCAGGCTGGAGTGCAATGGCGCGATCTCGGCTCACCGCAACCTCCACCTCC